CACACACAGACTGACCCCCACACCCACACATTGACTCACCCCAAACAGACTGACCCATACACACACAGACAGAACCCCCACACACACACACAGAATGATCCCCACACACACACACACACACAGACTAAACCACAAACACTGACTCACATTTACCAGCAGCTGCCTGGACGCCTCTGTGCAGAGCTGAGCTTCTTCTCCCTGTCTCTCCCCTGCGCTGCTCTCTATGACCCAAGAGAAAGTCCTCCCAGCACAGTGCCCCCTCTGGCCGCACTTGGGAAAAGGATGGAACATAATTCAACAGTGACAGTGCTGGTGCAAGTTGTGAATGGAGACAGTGCTCCCGACTTCAATTTCAATTTGGGGGGGGGGCACTGCATGATTTAGTGGGGGGGCATTGTTTCATATTGCAAAATGTAGGTCAAAACAGACCCACAGTCCTTCTCAATGGTGACACTTAAAAGGATTATTAAACAAACTGAGAAATGCTGGGAATCTAAAGTGAAAAGTGAAAGGCCAAAAAAAAGCAAACTGAAAACAAGACTGTCTTGGAGAATTGTTCTAATTTCTCTATTTCGACCTAAATATTGAAATTCACTTTGAATTCCTGGAAGCTCTCACTTTAGTAAATAGCTCTGCTAATCTCCTCCATATTAAGTGTTACATAGCTCCAAACTATTCCAAGTTCTATGAAAAATGTGGGGTTATTTCTCACCCTATCAGGTTTGTCCCTACTTAGGGCACCCTGAGTGCATGATAAGGTCTGCTCTGAGAACCCTCCAAACCATGACCAGAGTACTTCAGGGGTCCTCTGCGCATGGTCTGAGTTTGGATGGCCTGAGTGGCTGTCGTGCCTGCGTGACTAACCCATTGTCAGTGTAATCATTGGGCTCACCCACTAGCTCTTCCTGCTCACATACCTGCCTATGTTGGGAGGCACGAATTCTTACTATATTACACATAGTACAAAATGGCATATTATATCATGTAGACAACATTTGGGTTGGATAGGAAAATTTCTGCCGATAGGCCCCAAATCCATCCTTTTTCTATTGGCTGATAGTACACCAACATGTCCCTGGGGCAAACACCATGCCATATTAATTATACTTGGAATATGATTTGTCAAATAAATCAAGGCATTTTTCTACTGATTAGCAATCATAAATACAGCTGATGTCCATTTAACTGCATTGTTTTGTTATATTAGCACGTAGATGTGATTTCATTTATTTGTAAATTAGAGAGTGAGAGTTCACTTTAGGACTGTGTTTCCCCAGGGAATACCAGCTTTTAATACTCTTCTGTCAATAAGGACACTGATGTCTTAATTCACTAAAGGTTGAAAAGCTACCAGTAAAGAATGGCAGTTATATCTGACTAGCTCTTTCTCTCCAATCACTAACAAGCAGGAAGACGTTTAAATCTGGCACTGCATGGCGTAATTTACACTGTTCAGTGCATTGACCCCTAATCTCATTAGCTCCAAGACATGTAAGTCCAGGTTTAACCGAGATTAATGGGAGTCACACTCCTCAAACTGTTGCCACAATTAATTCAATATTTTTTATGATAAGAGGTGTGGGGTGACAGAGAAAGTGCATTTCTGTCTTTAGAGCGGTTTTCCTGGCATATTAATATCAGTAGAGGTGCTTCTGAATTAAGTATAGCTAATTTCAGCTCGTACCTGGGAATGCATCTCCCTCCAGACTCATTTAGGTCCTGGTACTACTCTAACATTAAATACCTATAAAACCTAGCCCTAACCCTAATGTAAAAAAAACATGTAAAATTAAATTTACTCTGATAAGCATCCACAAACATTGCAAAGCTCTCAATATTTCAAGTGGTTTTATAACACAACCTGTGTGTTTCGCTCATACCCACTTTACATTACTGTAATTTTAATTGCTATGGAGCTCTGTGATACTCATATATACTCTGCATTACTGTAAGTTTAATTGCAGTGGAGCTCTGTCGTACACATGAAGTGCAGTACACGATACTGTGTTCAATTGCTGTGGAGCTCTGTGTTACACACAGTACATACAGGGAGTGCAGAATTATTAGGCAAATGAGTATTTTGACCACATCATCCTCTTTATGCATGTTGTCTTACTCCAAGCTGTATAGGCTCGAAAGCCTACTACCAATTAAGCATATTAGGTGATGTGCATCTCTGTAATGAGAAGGGGTGTGGTCTAATGACATCAACACCCTATATCAGGTGTGCATAATTATTAGGCAACTTCCTTTCCTTTGGCAAAATGGGTCAAAAGAAGGACTTGACAGGCTCAGAAAAGTCAAAAATAGTGAGATATCTTGCAGAGGGATGCAGCACTCTTAAAATTGCAAAGCTTCTGAAGCGTGATCATCGAACAATCAAGCGTTTCATTCAAAATAGTCAACAGGGTCGCAAGAAGCGTGTGGAAAAACCAAGGCGCAAAATAACTGCCCATGAACTGAGAAAAGTCAAGCGTGCAGCTGCCACGATGCCACTTGCCACCAGTTTGGCCATATTTCAGAGCTGCAACATCACTGGAGTGCCCAAAAGCACAAGGTGTGCAATACTCAGAGACATGGCCAAGGTAAGAAAGGCTGAAAGACGACCACCACTGAACAAGACACACAAGCTGAAACGTCAAGACTGGGCCAAGAAATATCTCAAGACTGATTTTTCTAAGGTTTTATGGACTGATGAAATGAGAGTGAGTCTTGATGGGCCAGATGGATGGGCCCGTGGCTGGATTGGTAAAGGGCAGAGAGCTCCAGTCCGACTCAGACGCCAGCAAGGTGGAGGTGGAGTACTGGTTTGGGCTGGTATCATCAAAGATGAGCTTGTGGGGCCTTTTCGGGTTGAGGATGGAGTCAAGCTCAACTCCCAGTCCTACTGCCAGTTCCTGGAAGACACCTTCTTCAAGCAGTGGTACAGGAAGAAGTCTGCATCCTTCAAGAAAAACATGATTTTCATGCAGGACAATGCTCCATCACACGCGTCCAAGTACTCCACAGCGTGGCTGGCAAGAAAGGGTATAAAGAAGAAAATCTAATGACATGGCCTCCTTGTTCACCTGATCTGAACCCCATTGAGAACCTGTGGTCCATCATCAAATGTGAGATTTACAAGGAGGGAAAACAGTACACCTCTCTGAACAGTGTCTGGGAGGCTGTGGTTGCTGCTGCACGCAATGTTGATGGTGAACAGATCAAAACACTGACAGAATCCATGGATGGCAGGCTTTTGAGTGTCCTTGCAAAGAAAGGTGGCTATATTGGTCACTGATTTGTTTTTGTTTTGTTTTTGAATGTCAGAAATGTATATTTGTGAATGTTGAGATGTTATATTGGTTTCACTGGTAATAATAAATAATTGAAATGGGTATATATTTGTTTTTGTTAAGTTGCCTAATAATTATGCACAGTAATAGTCACCTGCACACACAGATATCCCCCTAACATAGCTATAACTAAAAACAAACTAAAAACTACTTCCAAAAATATTCAGCTTTGATATTGAGTTTTTTGGGTTCATTGAGAACATGGTTGTTGTTCAATAATAAAATTAATCCTCAAAAATACAACTTGCCTAATAATTCTGCACTCCCTGTATTGCTACAAGTTTTACTAATGAAGAGTCTGGTAATACACTTAAATATACCCAAAATTCTTAGAAATAACAGCAATTAGTGACCATAACTAACCATATTAGACCTTCCAGTCCCATACATTGTTTTTTATTACTTTTTTATATTCCCTAACACTGAAATGGTTAATTTTGTCTGCCTGATATTTTGTCCAGAAGCAAATAGGTGAAGTTTATTAGATCTGTCATATATCTCAATATCCTCAAAATATATGATACCACCTCACTAAGATTCCAGAATGCCAAGACCCCTTTAATCAGTTGCTGGAGCACTCGGCTCTTTCAATCTCAATGTACTGTCTCCTCTTCCTGTTTACTTGGGTTAAACAGTATTACAAACCACAAATATATTACACCTGTCATTCGTCTTTTATGGCATGCCGGAGATTCACCATTGTTCTCGTGTGTCCATATCAAACCGTACTGTGAGATTAACCTCTCTGGTGCTATGTAATAATTACGTGACCTGTCTCTTCTTCTCCCATACACCGTATATCAACAATTTTAATCTAGAGCACAAAATAAACAGCAAAATATGTGATTGTATCTCTGCAGCAGTCATTTCTTTACCATTCAACTTTATTCCCTGAATCGGAATAGTAAGGGATTTAACTCTTCGCACAACAGGACAATGACCGGCACTACAGCTTAACCAAGAAAGGGTTAAAGTCGTTTGTCGGACAGGATGCTCAATCAGGATCAATATCCTCAGCTAGCTGAAGGGAATTTCTGCTCATAAAGATAATGAAATAAGAAAAAGGCTGTGAATGACACGTAGCTGCAGTATCCTGGGGAAAGAGGGACACAGAACAGAGATAGATTGCTATAGTTTTAATTATCAGACAGGTTGCTACCATAATCTTACAGCCAGCATGGAAAGTCAATGTGAAGTGCACAGCAGACAATAAGGGACACACTTCGGTCAACTGACCATCACAGCAGATAACTTTCACCTGACTGGACAAGGGATTCTGGGTATTAATAATAAAAGGAACATATGGCGGGATGGTAGACATTAGAAAAATCGGGGTTTATCAATAAACCTCAGAAAGAGATGTTGGGTGCGCAATTAAAACTAGAGTGTGATCGTATAGTTGAAATAAAGTGGAGAAGGAGTAGAGAGAGTGTGTTAGGTTGCTGAATAAGAACTGGGGGGGGGGAGGGGTAACCCCTAATAATAAATAAAGCCAAGAAAAGAGTACTAGTGATCAAAGTGGGGGAGAAAGAAAGATATCTTATACAAGCCTCCCCAACAGGTATTGGTTAGAGATGTCGCGAACTGCTCGCCGAACTGTTCGCGAACTCTCCGCTGGCGAACAATAGCGTGTTCGCGTTGGACGAACATATGCGATTTCCGGTCCGCCCCCTATTCGTCATCATTGAGTAAACTTTGACCCGGAACCTCACATTCAGCAGACACATCCTGGGAGGGAGAGTCTGCTGCTGATTGGCTGGAATGTGTCTGCTGACTGTGAGGTTCCGGGTCAAAGTGTACTCAATGATGACGAATAGGGGGCGGACCGAAAATTGCATATGTTCGCCCAACGCGAACACTCTATTGTTCGCCGGAGGACAGTTCGCGAACAGTTCGGCGAGCAGTTCGCGACATCTCTAGTACTGGTACATTAGCAGCAACCCTAGGTTATACATATAAAATTAAAATATAACTTTTAATAGATAGGTTAAAATAATAGTAAAGTGTATGATAAATAATACGTAAGGCAGAAAGGTAAAAAAACAACAAAACAAATAAAGATAGCCTTAGTTGCCCTTGTCTGATGGCAGCATCCGTGGCTAAGGGGTATATAGAGGGTATGAATAAGAGGACCCTGTCAATAGTAATCTCAGTAGTCCCAAACATATAACCCCCCAACTCGCCACCTTTTTGGCAAAATATCTTATCCTCTCAGCGATAAAAATGGCTGCCAAACTATCACCCGGCTACCTAGTAATACATTGTAAAATCATCAAAGCTGGGTGGTAAACTGGAGTAAATAAAGTACAATTTCAACTGCAGTCTAGTCCCCTGTCAACCTCCACCACCCTCTAGCTAGTTAACGTCCCGACGCGCGTTTCGCAAAATCTCGGCTCTTCCAAGGGAACCGGGTCAGAGCTAGTCTGTTGTTTAAATATCCCGCCCTCTACTTTGATTGGTTTATATTTTCATCAATCCGATAGGGGGGAGGAGAAAAAGGAAAGTTTAACCCTTCATGACCGGGTACAAATAATAAAACAATATAATTATAGAGGGAAAAAAAGGGGGTGGGGAGTTCATATCTATTGGGATTTAGGATATATATCCCAATTATCCAACAGTTCTTTTATAAATTATACAAAAACTTTAGGCAAATACTAAGGTGATGGGTTATAATAACGTTAAATGTGATGACAAAATTGGTCTGGTAGTATAATTTTGAGCTAATGTTCAAAAATTGATTGTAAGAGATTTGTATCAGAATTATGTTGCAAAGTCCAATAAATAGTTCTAATGTAACATTTGGCCAGGATAGTGCCAACTCAGTAATGAAAATTAGCGTAACCTATCCATAAGGAGAGCCTCTCTATTTCTAGTGTTAGTGGTTCAGAGGGGGATACAAAAAGCTCCCTATCAGCCATAACTACTGTATGTAATTTGTCAGAAGAAACAGCACAGTCAAGAAGCAGATAGCAGGTCCCGTTATCTGCCACGATTCCTGTGTAAATTTTTGCAGGGAAAGCAGTTCCAATCGTTAGTCTCTCTATCGACCATAAACTCTACATATAATATAACAAAGGGGACAACACAGTCATGTTTTTAAATAGTTTAAATGCAGTTTCCACATCCCATTTTCTACCATAATATATGTGTTAGTTTTCACAGAGGAAACAGTTCTAACCTTAAGTCATACCTATGGAATTTCATAATTCCATTAGCAACCATAACCACCGCTTTTGTTATCTTGAAGGTTTGGAATTATCTACACAAAGAAAGCAAAAAAATATAAAGCTTAAGGTATATACATATATACATCCTTGCTTTCTTTTTATAATAATGGAATTGGTTAATGGTTTAAAGTGTATGTCTCACTTTAAACTCTATGTGTTGGGGTTAGATCCGTCAGATAGGTAGTAGTCTGTTCTGGGTTTACGTTTTTATTTTTAGGATAATAGACCTGATGAATATATACCGGTAGTTGTTCACTGTCATGTATATCCTCCTTTTTTATGAGTGGATGAATGGAGTGAAATTAAATTCTTAATTTAATTCTTTAGGGTATAATGTTTGAAAAAGGTAGATCCAACGGGATTCTACCTTCAGTAGAGCGATGTTAATGTCTCCTTTATGGTGGTTAAGGGATAATTTCTGTATCACCTGAAATTTAAGAACATTAGGTTTTGAGGCATGGTTCACTCGTACATGTTTTGCGATTGGAGTCTCAATATGTAGATTGGTAATAGAGTTTATATGCTTCTTTCTCCCCCCCCACTTGTATCACTAGTACTCTTTTCTTGGCTTTAGTGATCGTATAGTTATTTAAAAGTAGAGATTGCAGAACAGTAATACCCAAAACTGGGAAAGTGCTAGGCATGACCCTTAGATGATGGGTCATGCACCTTAGACATCACTTTAAGGATCATAACATAATCATGACAGCATAACATCCTATGTTGGGCCCAAATTCCTCTGTCCCTCTTTTCTATCTTGCTGTCCCTTTTATCAAGGAGCTCTATACTGTTAGTGTGTCTAAGTGTAAAACAGCAATAATATTCATAGTGATGTATTTTTTTTATATATATTTTTTTTCTTAACATCAGATAGATATTTTGTCGTGAAATATATGCAATCGATGCGTACTCTCAACAACCAATAATACCTCTGTCATCATTTGTTTCAGACAATGAGTACCTTAAAGGATCACTATAGTGTCAGGAAAGCAAAGCGGTTTTCCTGACACTATAGTGCCCAAAGGGTGCCCCCACCCTTAGGGTCCCTCTCCCGTTTCCAATTTCGCATCCAGCGTCACAGATGCGCTTCTAGCGGCTGTCAGGAAGACATCCACTAGAGGTTGGATTAACCCTGCTATGTAAACATAGCAGTTTCTCTGAAACTGCTATGTTTACATGTGAAGGGTTAAAACCTGAAGGACCTGGCACCCAGACCACTTCATTGAGCTGAAGTGGTCTGGGTGACTATAGTGTCCCTTTAACGCTATCCTTTCTACATTGTGTTTTGTTTCGATCTTATTAAAATCCTCTCTTTATTTTAACCTTTATTCAATGATTAATTAACAAGTGTAAAAAATAAATGACTAACAAACATATAGTGCAACATTTATCAAGTTCTATTATACGTTAATTTGATATAACTGGTTATATTACTAGCTTTGTAATTCTAATCATCTAGCGAGTCATTCGCAAAATTCATATAGCTAAATTCCTGTATGCAAAGTGTTAAGAAATTTGTGTGATGTTCAGTGTAGAAATTCTATTAAAATCAGACAATATATCTATGTAAACAAATCTTATCTGCATTTCTATAAAACCCTTTTTCCATTTTGCGCTGGTATTCTATAGGTCTGACCATTTGGGTGCAATGGGTATCTTCCAATTTCTTGCTATTATAAGCTTTATGGCCTTAAACAAATGTATCAGGAATGCTACTTGTTCACACTGTAATGTATTTTAAACTAGAATAAATTTAATTATTTACACAGGCTATGTTAATAAGATACATTGTTTGTGTTCTAAAGTACATTTTAGTTGCATAAATTGTTATTCGTGAGTCACCTAAAATTTCTCAGAACAGCCTTGGCCGTGCCACGAAGCACACCCCTAAAATTAAAGTGACTTTCTTTGTCTAGTTGCAATGTTGTGAGGCATGTTACAGTGTTGCATTATTTGTGGTGCAAACCCTGTTCCCTGTCTGTCTTCCCAAAGTGTCATATAACCGTTATTTCCCTTCTGCCGTTCAACTTGGAAATGAGGCATGTGCATGATGCACACGCAACTTGGAGAGATATCAGTTTCTACAGCAATGTATGTGGGCAGCGCAGAAGATACTAAACAAACATAACTTGCCAAATGTCACGGCTGCTTTCAGCATATTGAGCACTTCCATGCATGCTTAGTAGCTGGAATTGGGTTTATGGAATAAAAATAAAAACACCATGGGCCACAATGAGAGGATCCTTATTGGTGGAGCCACTTCCTGGTCAATTATCCTGCTGTGAATTTAGAAACTTTGATTTTTCCTTAATTTACATATTCTTTAATTTACATAATTTTCTGTAATATTTTAATGCAGTAAATATAATGCAATGCCGCACAGAATTAAAAGTGAAGACTTATTCCAAGTCATAACCTTGAGCATTTCATGCATTCTGTTCTATAGAGTGTGTGACAAATGTACAATACAAATGTGGGGGCAAGTAGTTTAAACTTAGACTGCACTCTTTTAATGTAGGATGGATTGATAGCAAAGAGCATTGGTGGGTGAAAGTTTAGCTGTGGCGAGTACAAATTCAATGCCATGCACCCTCCAAGTTTGCACTGGTGACTAATTTTTTAAGTCCTAGTTTGTAAAAGAGGACTTACAATTTTATAACAAGACACGGAGGCTCATATTGCATATCCCTTTCTTTACTGTCCACCAATAGCAGCAAAGAATACAAACAGAATGAAAAAAATAATGAACATACAGTAACATAGGCCCCTCCCCGCTCAGGTCCCAGTATAATAGGCAGCACTTCCCTTCCATTTCCCTCTTTCTTTGCTGCTCCGACACAAAGATAAGTACATGTCACCTTTTTCTCCTCTTCATATTATTCTATTGTACTGTTTTTTCTCATTGACTTTATTATACAGTTACTTACTGGTAATTGGTACTATACTGTATTATTTTATATTATTTTATAATTATTTAATATTTATTTAATATTTATTTTATATTTATTTTATTTTATGTTTATTTTCATGTCTAGTATTATTTTATTTTGGATGTCTTTATCCTCTACATTGGCTTCTGTGTGTTTTGTTTCTCACACTTACCCAGGGTCCAGACCTCCCCTGTCACTCTATTCTGCTGTACTCTATCCTCCTCTCCTCCGTCCTCCCTGCCCTCAGCGCCATTTTGCGCACATTTTTCTCCCCTACCCGGCTGTGTATGCGCACGAATTAAGCCCATTCGGTTGATTCGCCACGCATATATACCACTCACCATTCGGCAGACAGCGCGTTCGCCTGTTTGTCGTATTCGATTTTTGCATTCGAACGGCCCGTTTGCCTACTCTACATTTTCCCTATACTTACCTATCTGGTTCCCGAATTCTCCTTTTACCTACCGAACGTTCGTTTTTTTACCGCGAATCTCGCGGATGCCGCGAATCCTGCGAGATTACTGGCGGCCATTTTCAGACTTCCTGTCTTCTTTCCTACCCTGAATCTGAGTGTGCCACTGGTCTGGGCCCTGGTGAGAGCGTTTTTAGTTTTTTTTGGCTATTGCTGTTTGGGTGACTAACCCATACTATTCCTGCTACTTA